AAGCTACAAGCCATTTGGTTTGTTCTACCTCATCCATGTTGGGTAGTCTCTCCTCATTGAATCCATCACCAGAACACCTCAGAACTATAATAAACCAATCAGTGGGCTGATCCAGTATCACACACCCATGATGCAATCACTGCCAAAGCCCCACATATGACAGCAGGAGTCTTTGCGGGGAGCACTGAGATGTAAGCCACACCATATGGGGAAGTTAAAATGGGAACACTGCACTGCATAGAGTGAAGGAATAATTCGGGACTAAGAACAGTGAGGGGAGAAATAAAGAGAGAGGGAGAAAGAGAGACAGAGAGAGATGAAAAAGCAAGAGAACAGAAAAGTAATAGACATGAAGTACATATGTTATATACATACATGGAAATATATCAACTTGTATTAATTTATGCAATGCATATGTAACTTCAATAATTAGCATTTAAAAACGTGTCAGTAGCCAGGTGAGGTTTGCTTACTTTGAAAGACTTATTTTCCTGTATTTGCACGCACGTCGTTGGTCAGGCTGAGAACAGTGACTGAAGGGTAAGTATTGGGCAATGTTCACAACTGAGATTCACCTGCAGATCAATGAGCTTTAGATGAGAAATTTATGAGGAAACTCCTAATTTACAACGTTGGCCCAATTTGAAGGGTCCAGTCACAGCATTTCTAGCATTTTCTTATCTCCAACTCTTCAGATGTGTTTCTGCAAAAGTCTGATCATCCCTAACAGTCAGTATTCAATGTCATTGACCTGTGAATTCCTCTGTGCCAAGGTAGCAGGAGCTGAGACAAGAGGACTTTACACTGTGTGATTTCCATTCTCCCAGGACATCCTTGATGAACACAGTGGTGTGATATATGTGGATTTTAAATGATGGATAAATATCTTGTCTAAAATTCTGTGTTGTTTTTAATGTTTTGGGTTATTTTGTAAATGTCTGCGTGTCTATTAGTGTGTTTTTGTTCTTTTACCTTTAAAACAAAAAAGTCAAAGCAAAACCATGTCTGTATTAGCAGAAATAGTCTGGAAACAGAAAGAAATGCTTGAATTAAGATAATATGTTAACATAATCATGAGCACATGCATATGTGTGTATGTGTAGTCAACATTTCAAGAATAATAGATGCATGTAGACATAGTGATACAAGTTTTATCATCTTATTCACCTATTATTTAGCATTAACTTGGCAAGATGTTCATTAGCAGACTAGTAAACATTTATATTAAAGCTATAATTATTTAAATAAGCACTTATGCACAGGCCTAGATGTGGAAATTCTGTGTTGATCAGTGTTTGAAGATTAATGATTGATCAACAGCCACTCAGAAATCAGTGAGTGAGAACACTCAGCATGTACTTCCTGTCCTGCATCTTCATGTTCACAGGTTGGCTACACCGGCAGAGCTCACTACCGCATGTCTAATGCAGGGTCCTCATTTTCATTGCCAGATACTAAAGAGCAATGATTTGTTAGAGTCCAACATTCTCATGGTTGCTTATAGCAGCGAAGAAAATGCCTGAATTTACCCGCACGGGAAAATACTGGACCATTCTATTCACAAATATGTGTGTATATTGTCCTTAGGTGAGGATAGTCATTGTGAAGTATTCCAAATTTCATTTTGTAGTAATAAAATGGAACAGGAGGCGCTAAGGTTGGATGTGGCTTATCTAACAGGACTTCTGTCCTGGAGGCTGGGTTCTCACTGCAGCCACTAAAGAGGTAGAGAGCTGTTAAGTGCTGGCGCCTGGTGTGAGAAGGTGAGGTCACTGCAGGTGCTGCCTCTGGAAGAGATCAGTGCTGATCTTACACAGCAAGCTGCTCTTAAAGAAAGGATGGTGTGACGAAGTGAAGCCGCATTATATACTCGGCCACCCCAGAGCGCAGCTGGTTTCCTTCCTGCTCACATGCCATGTTCTGAGAGCGATGGCTGCGTCCTTACCAGAGGACACGCAGATGGGCCTGCGCACTCTTGATCTTGGCACCTCCACCACTGACTGGAGCAAATCTATTTCCTTTGTAACATACTCCATTCAAATATTTTGTTACAGCAACAGAAGAAGGAAAAGTACAGGTGCGTCATCTTTTAATGCATGATTTTAAATAAAAATGTAATTCAGCAGATTCATTGTCTCTGAAAAGATTCTCATTAACTAAAATAAACTTCTAAATACAGCTTCTTTTTTCAGTCTTTGGCAGGTAGCAAGCCAGTTTTTCCAGCACCATTTATTAAAGAGACTGTTGTTCTCCCAGTGAGTTTGATTGGCCCCTTTATCAAAGATTAGGTGGCTGAGTGTGTTTTTGGCTGTGGCTGTTTCTTCCAGTCTGTTCCATTGATCCTCGGGCCTGTTTTTTAGCCAGTACCAGGTTGATTTTATGACCGTAGCTTTATAGCATAATTTCAGGTCAGGGATTGTGATTCCGCCTGACTTGTCCTTGTTGCCCAGGATTGCTTTTGCTATTCTGGGTCTCTTAAACTAGGAGATATGATAGACATTGGGAATTGATAGGAAAGCACTCATAGGTAAAGGATAACTGGAATATGGGAAAAGAGAAGGGAAAGAAGGAGAAAGTTTGTATATATGTATATGCAGGATAGTTAACACAGGTGTTCTACTGTCCTGTATTTCCTTGCTGAAAGAAACTGTCAGTGAGGCATTGGTTGATTAGCTTTGTATGTCTATATGTGTTTTCATGAGAAACTACATTGAAGATATCAATATGTAATACAATAAGCATTGTTAATTCCCTACCACTCTGTTTGTAACTCTGTAATGTCTGTACTGATCCTTTGCTATTTTGTAAAATGTTGTCGATCTGTTAGTATTTTCCTCCTTTTATTTCTAAAATAAAAAAAATATATAGCTTCTTAAGCCTTCTGTAGGTCATGTGCTAACATGCTAAAATGCAGATTGTCATTCAGGAGGTCTAATGTGATTCTGAAGTTTTGCTTTTGTTAAATATCACTGATGCTGTTTATGTTTTTATATTCTGGACAAACTTTGTGTAAATGGAAAATCATTCTATGTCCATATTTAGTTGGTTTTGGTTTTGCTAAGAAAGTTGTTGTATTTTGTTAAGTAATGCTTATATATTTCAAGAAAATCTTGACTTCTTTTGACAGTACTATGTCATCATACTTTCTTGCTGTGACTTCAACTTTCTGATTTCTGTAAACAGCATATTTAAAAATACTCTGGGGCTAGCACTTACCTTACAAATTCTTAGTTGGAGGAGATACTGGTGTACAAAGAAGTCTGCACATATGCTGTATTTCTATAATCATTATCGCTTCTGCAAGTAGGTTTCCCTCAACTGATTTATTCAATCATTTTGTGTGTAAATGCTCAAAGAAGGGCCTTAAGGCCCCTGAGACTTGGAGCTGGAGGAGGATGATTCAGCAAGATCTGGGCACATCTTCAAGGGGAGAGATGGGTGGAGAATCCCCTGAGTCATCGCGCTATAGGTTGGGAGATCGTCAGTGCTCCACACACCTGAGTTTTCAAATCACATCTGAGGACTCCGTGGTTGGAGGGACAACCACATGACTGTCCCATGTTCTCTGGCTTCTGCAGAGCATCAAAGTATATTGTATTTCTAGCCTCTGCTTTTAAAATCTAATCTATAAAATGTGGCCTATCATAAATTGCTGTCTATATTCTAATAACCATTACTAAAATCATTCTGGCTTGGAATTTATGTTCATGTTTTCTTGAGCTTCTGAAGGTTGAGAATTCCTCATTTCTCGAATCTAATTTGTCTGTTGCTGTGATGTTTTTTTTTTTTTTTTTTTTTTGTTTGTTTTGGTTTTCCTTTTCTCACTATGTTTCTCAGATTGGCCTTAAAGTTATTATGTAGCGCAAGCCTAGCTTCCAATTTTTTATTTTTCTTTCTTTTTTTTTTTTTTTTGGTATCAGGAAACAAACTCATGACCTCACACTTGCCAGGAAGGCACTGTGCTGCTGAGCTAAGTCCCCAGCCCTGGCTTTGGATTTATGACAATCATCTTGCCTCAGTCTCCCTAGTGCTATGATTACTAGCAGACTCCACAATGCCCAGCTCATTCTGTGTTTTGTTTGTTTTGTTTGTTTATAGGCCTCTTTCAATACTGTATTTCTGGTCATTGAAAGGAACTTAATTTCCCATTCTATGTATGTTACTTTATATTGTTGCTTGTAGCAGTTTACATTGCTTGTCTTTTGTTGCATGAATCTCTTCTTTTCTTCCTGGTACCAGGGATCGAACTCACGACCTTGCACTTGCTGGGCAGGCGCTGTGCCACTGAGCTAAATCCCAAGCCCCTGTTGCATGAATCTCAAGACTTCCTCTAACTCAGATCCCTAACGTGTACTGATTTGTGTCCTTCATGAAATTAGGAGAAGCACTGTGATGTCTGTGTGGCTGGAGCTGGGGTAGATGAAACAGTGGTAAGGGACAAGGACCCTACCTGACTTTCCCTAAGATCTTCAAACCCTGGCTGCATGTGGGAAACTCTCTTCTCAGGTGCAGGCACCAGGGAGAGAAGCTGGGGCAGCTCAGCCTCACACTTCTGCTTTTGTGGGAGGTTTATGTCATGGCTTGTATCACTGTGGGAGGGAAACTGTTAGTCTGTAGACAGTAATAAGTTGCAAGATCTTCAGGCTGCAGGCTGCTGATGGTGAGAGTGAAATCTGTCCCAGACCCACTGCCGCTGAACCTGGATGGGACCCCAGAGGCCATATCGGTTGCATAAGCAATTAAGAGTTTAGGGGCTTCCCCTGATTTCTTCTGAAACCAGTGTAAACTACTGCTAATACCCTGGCTGGCTTGACAAGTGATGGTGACTCTCTCTCCTAAAGACGCAGGCACCGATGGGGACTGGGTCAACTGGATGTCGCATCTGCCACCTGACAGTGGAAACAGAAAAATTAATTATGTTATAAAAAGAACTTCTCAAAATATTCAGGTGGCTCTGACCATGCAGTGCTGAGGAAATCCCCAGGGCTGCTCATCCTTACCTGGCAGCCAGAGCAGCAGGAGCCCCAGGAGCTGAGCGGGGACCCTCATGTCCATGCTGTGTCCTGACTGGGACTGAGTCCTGCACAGGGTGTGACAGACTATGAAGAAGTCCTCAGGGCCTGGGCTGTGCTCTGGGACATGCAAATCAGCAGGGTGGGCGGGGTGGGCTCAGCTGCAAGACTGGCTCCTCTCAGTGGCCGTGCACAGGCATGGGGCCCCAGATGTCCCAGATGAGAGCACACTGCTATAGACTCATTTGCAGTGGATTTTCTCTCTTGTAAACAGATCACAGAATCATTCAGCTTTGCCCTTGAGTATAGTGTTGTTTTGTTCTCTTAGATGCTCATCACATCCTCTGTGATTGCTCACATAACATATGGTGGACTAGATATAGTACAATTTCACAAAATTCCTGTTTTTTTAAGGTTACCTGTTTTGGGCACCTGTAGTTAATATTGAGAGCAGAAATGTTATCCATGCTGTTTCCCTGATAGTCTTGGTGAAGTAAGTTATCAGCATACCTCTCCAGGACTGTAATGAGGCAGAAGAGGAATCGCAAATGGAGTTTCCGTGATTTGTCACACCTGAAACCTCAAGTTAAAAGGAATTAAAAAGTGGAGTCCAGAAACCAAAGAAAAATCCAAGGAAAAAGACTTTAAAATCCAGTGGTTCATTTAAATCACTAATTCTAATTTCTACCTATCTCTGCCCTTTATCTTCCCCCATACTTGGAAGCACTTCAGTCACAGAGAGAGCCTGGGGACTTCAGGACACTGGCGCATACAGGCTGCTTCTGGTGCTTTATACAAACCAGCAGGGATGCAGTGGTCTGGTGAAGCAGACAGACGCAGGCAGGCATGGGATGAAGGGCAAAAAGTCAGTAACCATGCAAAAGCCCAGACATATTGAAAGTCAGAATAACAATTCAAATAAAGAAAATAGAGCGGACCAACACTGAATGTGCAGTAGCTTACTGAGGGTAGTGAACGTTTCCTCTAGGGGACTGAAGAAGAGAATCCTAATTTAATCCAAGATAGCAGAGTAAGCTCCTAGACATATAGACACTCTGGGAGAAAGACAGCTGAGTTCTGTGTACAAAGCGGCTATGGGAGACATTTCAGACATTTCCCTCCAGATGCACGCACTGTAGTTACTATGTGTCATCCTGAGAAGCGCCCCATTGTCTGGGTGAAATTAGGAAACCCTACGCTGTTTGTATCTCCTAAATGCAGCAGCCACTTCTCATCAGTGATGTAGAAAGCACCCACGCTGACTATCAGTTTGCTGTTTCTTACATCTTTAAAGTGCTAACACAAGTACTCCTCAAATTCTTCGGTGAAAAAATAGGAGGAAAAACTCTATGTTCATCCTACAAAACTGGTCTCACCTTGATCTCAAGGAAGTGTGAATGTCACACCCATCCCCCATTTTCCCTGAGTCAAGGCAGTACTTTGGGGGTTGTACTCGGAGCAGGGTTTGGGGCAGCAGTAGAAATGCTATTTGTTTATTGACTTTCCCACTCAATAAAATGAAAGCTCCATGAGGGTACAGGTTCTGGTCCATTTGTTCAGAATGCCTATGCCTAGGCCTGTGCAGGAGTCTATATAATTTTTTTAACATATTGGTAGTGATCAGTGTTTACTTCACTAGTTTGGGACCTGAAGCTATCTCCACTTTTACTGCCAGGAGGACCTGTGACACCTTAGATCTGTTAGAGAAAGGGGGCTTTGTGAGAACTAGAAGCCTTACTTGAGAACCTGGTTTACCTGAATAGCAGTGACAATGGTGACTCCTAAGTACATGATGACTCATTGTGTTGGTGCTCAGGGGGAAGGACTGAGGTGCTTTTGTATTGTCTAAGAGTAAATCTAATGTGTTTTTATTTATTTATTTGAGACAGGGTCTCACTCTGTAGTGCATGCTGGCCTTGAAGTTGCTTATGTAACCCAGGCTATCCTCAAACTTATGGCCATCCTCCTGCCTCAGCCTCATGAATGCTAGGAGTACAGGCTAGTGCCACCACATCTGGATCTAATGTTGTCTTGGTTACTTTTCTCTTGTTGCTGGGACAAAATATCTGACCCCCAAAATTAAGGAAAGAAAGGTTTATTTTGCTTACAGTTTGTGGAGGTTTCAGTCCATACTTGGCAGATTACAAGGCAGAGGGGCACATGGCAGAGGGCTACAGCTCAGGGTGGCAGAACACAGCCAAATCAGCAAGCACACACAGGGCAGAATGACCTCAAGCACCCTTTTCCTCTCCCTTACATATGCAAACTATCCACCCCAGGGTGTGTAGCTCTCACACCCATAACTGATCAAACTCTAAAAGCCTGCCCCATGACCGAATGAGGCTTTGCGGGGCACACAGACACAAACCATAGCAGATGTCTATTTAAAATTGAAAATTGGGTGTAGATAGAAAAAATTATGCACACTGTTCTTATTCTATCAAGTGAACAGTAATATACTCCATGTAAAGATATGATATGCAAGTTTCATAATTATATATCCATAGTGTCATGTATCTTGTGAGCAGTGAATACATGTAGCTTGTTTGAAAGAGTATACTTGATAATTAAAGCAGTTTGCATTTAGAAATTTTGTGGTACATCACTGAAAACTATCTTTTAAATTGATTTCTGGATCTTTAGCAGGCATGACATTACAGTTTTTGGTGTAAGGAGGTTTTTATTTTGTTTTTGCGTGGCTCAGATCTCATCTCACAAGCACATTTGTTTCCATCCTCACACGTGCTTCATGTAGACTCCCTGTGCTCACACCTGGCTGCTCAGAGTCCCTAATGAATACTTCCCTGGAGATACGCTCTGAATGCCTTGGGTGGGAAAAGGCAATAAGATGGTGTCACAGCTCAACTCCTCCTGTTGCTCATGGTCTCAGAGAGGAGTTTAAGACAGATCACAATATTTTAATAGTCAAAAAGTGATTTTAATGTGTTGAGTAAATAAAAATGTCTTCTAAAACCCTTTTGTGTCACTGACCTGTGTATTAGCAGTCACAATGTACAGAGACATAATGGGTCAGAAGGCCAAAGTCCTTGATCTAACGATGATTTAAGTGGCCAGAAGTGATAATACATATCAGTTTATTCTTCATGTACTTTATTTGGCACTTACTAAGGTCTTTATTCATGAATTAAGTATGGCTTAAAGAGATGTGCTTTAGGATGAAGTTGACAAGAGGTTGGATATAACCATTATGATAGATTCTACTAGTTTGTGTTTCGGATATGTCATGAGGATTTGATGGACCACACTTACAGGTATGTCTAGATAGGATCTACAACATTCTTGTTGTCCCTGGCCCATTCCTCTATGGGACACTGTTTCGTTTTTGTGCTTCCTAAATGTCAGTGACTAAGCTGATTTGCTTCATCATGCCCTCCATGTTTCTACATTGGAGCCAGCCAACCATGGATTGAATTTCTAGAACAATGTGACAGATTAATCATCTCTTCCATGAAGATGTGTGTGTGTGTGTGTGTGTGTGTGTGTGTGTGTGTTTGGTGTTGTGTTGCATTAAAAGATAGGCAGACTAATTCAGTCACATATAACTTTGGAACCATATTTTCAATAAATGTTATTGAACGCATAATTTTATTATATGATGAGTGAAATTACAGAGTTCAAATTTCTTTTTAGATAATGAGGTTGTAGTATTAAAATGCTACATCATTCTTTGCATTGAAATATATTTATTAAAATATAGTACCAAGAGTACTATATTTAGAATAAATATTAAAATTTATATTCTCAATTTGGAAGTGAAGGAAATATTTCAAAGAATTTTGGGGTATATGGACCAAAATTTCATTTCTTTCTTTGTCAGTTTGTGATTTTTATTTTTAAAGCACGTTGTTGGAAGTGTTAAAACTCCATTATGCTCAACAAATCTAACTGAAGTAAAGCAAGTTCTTATGGCAATAGAATTTCATGTCTGGCTTGAATGTACTCAGGCATAAGTGAACACTCAAAATTCAAACATTGCTGACTGGTTATATTGAGCCAGGGGCAGCTTGTGTTGCTTGCTTTTTCTAATGGGATAACGGACAAGATAGTTTACTCTAAGGAGTAAGAAGTCAAATAAGTGGAAAAATACAATTTTACAATAGTAAAAAATTTTATTCTTTCTTAATTTCTTTTCTTGTTGCTGAGACAAAATACCCAACACTCAAAGTTAAAAGAGGAATGATCTATTTGGCTCACAGTTTGTAGAGGTTTTAGCTCACAATCAGCTGGCTCCAAGGCAGGATGGCATGGCAGAGGGACATTACAGAGGAGAAACAGTTCATGAAAAAGCAGAGCAGGCAGACAGTAGCCAGTAGTGCAGTATCAAGCAACAAGCAACAAGCAGCAGTCTACCAGAAACCCTCTATCTGTCCCTCATATCTTATCCAGGCTACTCACCCTTAGAGAAGATAGCATTTATACCCAGGCTGGGACACCCTTAATTCTACCCAGAATTAGGCCAAACCAATCAGTGGACTAATTTAATAATTCCACACACTTGATCCCAGCATCACACACTGCAGATTCGGCCACCTCCTGAAAGTTCCACCTAAAACCTCATGAAGTGTTGGGGAGACATCGAGCTTCTAAGATCAAGTGGGTTCAGGATGGTATGGCCATAGAATCTGGGGACAACTAACCTCAGAAATACCATGCTACAAAAAACTCAGTGTAAATTGGCAATATTCAAAATATATTTAAATTACATTGTTACTGTTCTACAACAATTCTCTGCCTGTTATGCTGACTAAATAACCTTGGCAATTGTCTGCCAAAAGGGATACTGAGTATGAGCTGTCAGGCCACTACTGCTGTCATCATAGGTGATTAATCACAGGCCGTGTGGACCATCTCACTGTCTCATCTAATGCTGTTGTAGAAAAGCAGACCTAAACATGAGATGCCTGAGTTGTTACTGAGATATACATGATACAGAGAGCAGCACACAGTTCCCAAAGTTCAGCCACACATGTGGCAGCTGGGCCACCTCCAGCAGGGAGGTTTGTGCTCCAGGATGTATTGCTGTGAGCTCTGTTTTTGGGCTTCATACACTGCATGTAGACTGCATGCAATAATAAACCTCCATGCCCTCAGCCTCTACCCTTCTGACTTTTCATGTGAAAACTGTCTGTGATCCACTGACACCGAAACTCTCTGAAACTCCAGAAGCTGGGTTGAAAATTCCATGGATAAAAACCTTGGAAAAGAGCCTGGCTTCTGCAGGAACCAACACAAGTCATTGTTTTCATCCCTGACTAGAACAGTTAGACTAGACCTGCAAGAGATGGAGTCCACCTCTCCAGAAGTGACAAAGCTACATAGTGACTTTTAGGCCATCCTGATCTATAAACCAAGACCATGGCTCAAATACAAACCAACAAGCAAATGCAAACAAACAATGATTCAGCTGATCCAGGCAGAGCTCAGATGGGTAGTTCAGGTTCTCATTAGCCTGTGAGTATCCTTGGATCTGAAACCAAAAGCAAAGGAGTAGTGACTATGTGATGAACAACCAGAGGTCAAAGTACATAAGCAAATGGAAGCTCTGACATCTCCAACACAAAGACAAAGCTTTAAATTGGTAATTCCAAAAGGTTCAAAGTAACCTTAATGTTACTTTGCTTAATTTTCAAGGTATTTGAAAATGTCAGTAGCAATTAATTATGGTTTTCAGCCAATAACATTTAAAATCAAATTACTTTTACTTCAATTAGAAGATAAAATTGAGTATATTTTCAATGTCCAACATCAAATCAATTTTTGTAAGCGACACTATGGATAAAACAAAACAAAATTTTCTTTGTTTAAATGAATAACCCCTAAAACATAGCTTTTTAAAGTATTCATAGGTCACCCATTGTCTTATTAAAGTGAAGGTTCTCACCAGTTTAGGCTATTGTGGATCTGGTATTTCCAAGTGTACCACACTCTCCATGGTGCTGATGATGATGCTGGCTTTTGAAAAATGATTAAGAAGAAACTTTTTTATTTTACCAAAAAGAATGTTACATGTTCTATTGAATAACCACACACACACACATATGTATGTGTATGTATGTATATACATATATATAAATGATTATTGTGTGTATTGAATGTAATTCTTCTTCTTTTTTTTCATTAACATAGGACTCAACAAAATCTCCATGTTCATTCCAGTCTTGCTCACAAAATGGAGAAGGATTATCCGGTTCCTTTTCATAACTAATAAACATCTCGAGAGTTGTGAAACAGTGACCACACTGGAACATCAGCTGTCAGTGTCACACTGTCATTGCTGACCTGGAAGCAGCTTTGCCAGAATTTTTTTCCTTTTGGAATATCTGTCAGGTTTCATGAGCGTTCTCATCAGGGCTTGGTAATTAGAATCAGATGATTCTATACGGTCCAAAAGCCCCTGCAGAGAGACACAGGCACAGAGGTGAGGATGGGAATCACAGGTGGAGGCTCCAGGCAGCTGAAAGCAGCAGCAGCCTTCACCTGGATCCACAGACAGGTACAGAGATCACAGTCAGGCAGCTGACACCTTCCATGTAGATGCCCCCTACCTGGCTTGTAGGGGACAAGAGTTGATTCCCCTCTTTCTGTTACCTGCCTCCTTGGCTCCCATCCCTCTTGACCTTTCCTTTGAAAGCCTAAATATCCACATAGAGAATTTTTATATATTTATTTGTTGTCTGTATTTTGCTTTTAGTATCTGTTCTGATCATTGACTATACTCTAAACTGGATTCCTTGTTTTTTTTTTTTATTGTTGTTGTCATTATACATTCTATGCATGAACCTTGTTTCAGATGAAGAGCTGTCAGTATTGCCCCTACTCTGCAGGTTGTTGCTTCACTCTGTTGGTTGCTATGTAGAAGCTTTGTAGTTAGACGCAATTTTATTCCCTCGTTTTAATTTTGTCCCATGTGCTTTAGAGCTTGGGAGCCTTCTCTGGTTTCTGCTGATACCAGGCCAGATGACCATGAATGCTCTCTGTGGCCTGTAACTTATGGTGACTCTGTCTCCATGAGCTGCAGATGTGGGGAATGCACCCTGGGTCATCTTGATGTCACAGCTGGCATCTTACATTGGAAACATAAGAACAAATATCCACACAATTTAGTAATGCTGCATAAGGACCTACATGAAGGTCCATGTGTTTCTCACCACACTGGGCTGAGTAAATTCCTGCTGGAGTGTCTTGAATAGCTTTTCTTTGGTTCACTGAGTTTTAAGTGATGCAAAAACATGGAATAATCAGGTGTCATACTCTTTCCTGTATATGAAGAAGGATTTGATATTCGGGGGTACTGGGGCTTAGGAGAAGGAAGGGCAATGAGGGTGGAGAAGAGAATCCCTGACTTCTACCATATCCTGGAGTGATCCTCAAAACCTGGCTGCTTCTAGAAAGCAAGACACCAGGAGGAGCAGCTGGGGCTACCCAGCCTCACGCTTCTTTCTTGGGAGGTTTATGTAACGGTTTATATCACTGTGGGAAGGTACTCATCATACTGCATACAGTAATAAGATGCAACATCTTCAGCCTCCAGGCTGCTGATGGTGAGAGTGTAATCTGTCCCAGACCCATTGCCGCCGAACCTGGGTGGGACCCCGGATTCCAGATTGGTTGCAGCGTAGATCAGGAGCCTTGGAGCTTTCCTTGGTTTCTGCTGATACCAATTTAAATTGTAAACATCCCGACTGGCTCTTAATTAATAATTCACACATGCCAACTCAAACATCTTTAATTGTTAAATATTGCTATAGAAGGATATCTTTAGTACATCCTTTTTTGTTAAATATTTTCATGAAACACCTAAATTTTATTCTATGTGTTCAAATAGTTGTCATTCCATTGTTCTGAAAGGTTAAGGCAAGAGGTTCAAAAGTTTGAGCCCAGGCTCAGCAAGTAAGTGATAAGTGATACGTAATTTTAAAATAAGACAATGAAAAAGATCTGTGTAGGTTGATCAGTGAAGAGATCTGACACTCACAAAAAGGACCCCAGTACCAAACCAAAATAGAATTTTTATAAACCTCAAGATATACTCAACAAAAAGACACAAATTTGTTTATGGAGATCATATTTAATTCACAAATTAAAAAATCGTATAGGATTGGTATGAGCTTTTATTCAGTTCTATCACCATTAGTAGGATAGCCACCCTCATTCTCAATCTGCCTGTTCAAGGCAAAGTCTCTTTCAGCTGACAGGTGAATGAGCAGATGTTGCTTGAGATTTAACCAAGTCACTCATGGTCCAGAGCTCTCAAGAACACCTGTTACCCTGAGAACTCCAGCATCTTCCTGTTGTGTAGACTGGAGACTTTGCTGTGCTGCTCCCTGACAAGCAACACACAAGGGCAGCTGGGCCTCCTTGGTGAGGGGTTTGTGTACGGGGCTGTATCACTGTGGGAGGATCATGTGTAGCTTGCATGCAGTAATAAACTCCAGCATCCTCAGCCTGCACCCGGCTGATTTTCAGGGTGAAATCTGTCCCTGACCCACTGCCACTGAACCTGTCTGAGACCCCAGAGGCCCTGTTGGAAACTTCATAAATCAGGAGCTGTGGAGACTGGCCTGGCTTCTGCAGGTACCAATCCAAATAGGTGTCTCCATTACTATGCAGGAGGCTCTGACTGGACCTGCAGGAGATGGAGGCCGGCTGTCCAGGGGCAATGGACAGGGAGAGTGGAGTCTGGGTCATCACAACATCCCCACTAGATCCTGAAAGAAGAAGAGAGAAATTAAAGGTCTTGTACAAAAAATTGTAATCATTTTTACAATATCTTTTATTTTGTTCCAGGCTTTATAATTTTTATGATTTTGATGTACACACCAGAAATATTTAATTTTTTAAAAGAATTGGACAGTTCATCCCCACCAACCTTCCATATATCAGAGTTTTCATCAAGGGCCTATACAGGTGCTAATTCCGACACTGCCCTTTCTCACTCTCACAGATGGGAACAGCACATGCACCATCCTGGAGGGGAGGCTGCTCATCTTTCTCATGCACAGAGCACACCTGGGCAGCAGGGGCCCCAGAGCTCACCTCTCACCCCACTCCCCTCCTCAGCTCCCTCTGTCCTTACCAGGGATCCAGAGCATCAGCAGCCCCAGGAGCTGAGCAGGGAGCTTCATGCTGAACTGAACTGAGGAGCCCTGGTGAGTCAAGGCCAGAATGCAGATGAGCTTTTATCTCAGTCTTGCAGGGCGGGTCCTCCCCAGGGGACATCATGTGAATCCCTCCTGGTGCAGCTGTGTGGAAAAAAAGCTAGTGTCAAAGTGGAAAGGGACAACAGAAGGGCCTCTCCTGTGAGCAAATTTACATAAAACCTCTTCTGTGTTTCAGGAAAACTCAGAAATTCAAGCAGTTTTTTCATTAAGAAGAATGAATTTCCGTATGTATTTGGTGCTTCTTATTTTTTTTTGTAAGGGCCGAGGATATAGCTCAGCAGCTTAGCTCCTGCCTGGCAAGCGTGAGGTTGTGAGTTTGATTCCCGGTACAAAAAAACAAGCAAACAAACAAAAATTTCTTTTGTAGATATAAGTTAGATGTGATAATTTAAACTGTTAAAAAGTAATACACATGTAATGTACAGAAGAGACATTTATTGTGCAACAAATATAGTCCTTGTTTAGTAATGATTCAGATGGAGCTATAGAATTAAATGTCAAATTCACCATGAGCTTCTCATCCCCCTCCCAATCTAACACCTCCTGTAACCTGCAAGGACTCAATGAAGTCTGCCACAAAAATTTGTTTTTTACTAGATGAGGATGTCATTTAAATTGCAGGATTTTTTTTGTTTTGTTTTCATCTGTTTCTTGTTTAATCCTACTTTTGAGGCCTTCATTTTTTTCTTCCTGTGAATTCAGTTAATTGTCTGTTTTTATCTGTTGTGAATCTGAAGAATTTCTTCTTGGATTACTTATAAGGTGTTATTATATGTAATAATTTCACTTGCATTTATATGAAAATGTTTTTAGTTTTCCTTTATTTTGATGTAAAATGTCACTTAATGTAGAATTCTTGTCTGACTTTCTTACCACTGGCCCTGAATGTACCCTTCCACTGTCTTCTAGCCTCCACTTGTCATAATGAAAACTCAATCAATGTCTTTTTAATATTTCTCGGTGTCTCTCCTTGGCAATTTTCTCTTTAATAGTTATGAAATTTCCAGTGAACATGTTTGGCCCCTTTGTCAAAGATAAAGTGGCTGAGTGTGTTTGTAGTTATGGCTGCTTCTTTCAGTCTGTTCCATTGATCTTCAGGTCTGTTTTTTGCCAATGCCATGCTGATTTAATCACAGTAAGTTTGTAGTATAATTTCAAATCAGGTATTGTGATGCCTCCTGCCTTGTCTTTGTTCCCCAGGATTGCTCTTGCTATTCCGGGTCTCTTCTGGTTCCGGATGAATTTTAGGAATGTTTTTTCTAGGTCTGTGAGGTATACTAATGGTATTTGAGCAGGATTGCATTGAATCTGTATAACAATTTTGGGAGTATGGCCATTTTCACAGTGTTTTTTCTTCCTACCCATGAGAAAGGAATATCTTTCTATTTTTTGAAATCCTCTTCAATATCTTTTTTTCACAGTATTGTAATTTTCACTGGTATTGATCTTTTACTTCTTTTGTTAGATTGATTTCTAAGTATTTTAACTTTTTGGATGCTATTGTGAAAGGTATGGTTTCCCTAATTTCACTCTTATTGTGTTTGTTTTCTTTGTATAGGAATGCTATTGATTTTTGAGTGTTGAATTTGTATCCAGCTATGCTACTGAAATTGTTTATTAATTCCAGGAGCCTTTTTGTGGAGTTTTTGGGGGGCCTGAGCAACTTTGTTGAAGGTAACAATATGTAGTATAACAACCACTGACTCAGTGAAGTCTGCCACAAAAATTTGTTTTTTACTAGATGAGGATGTCATTTAAATTGCAGAATTTTTTTTTTTTGCTTTTATCTATTTCTTGTTTCTATCCTATGTTTGAGGCCTTCATTTTTTTCTTAAAGTCTGTGCAACAGATATAGTGGAAGATGAGCTGCTTCCCCTCCAGGATGGTGCATGTGCTGTTCCCATCTGTGAGAGTGAGAAAGGGCAGTGTAGGGATTAGCACCTGTATAGGACCTTGAGGAACAGACTTCATTAATTCCTGTCATTTTGCTTTGAAATCCTGTACATTTTTCCTTTTTGTGTTGTTTTGTTTTTGTCTTCATTGTTGTTCTTCTGTTTTTGTCTCTTTAAAATAAAAAAAGTTATGAATCTTTGCTGCTCAATCTGAAGATGTTTCATGAAATTTATCAGATATATAAATTATTGAACTTCAGTACATTTCAAGTTCTTGCAAATTTTCTTTCAATTTTTTTTTCTTCTCTTTCAGTCTCACATACAGTTGTAATAGTCTTCACAATGAACTATTATATCACTGAGGCCTTAGTCATTTCTCTGTAATCGTTTTCTTCAGATTCCGTATTTTCTTTTTTAAATTTTTTTTTGTTTTGTTTTTTTTTGTTTTTCTCTGGTACCAGGAACCGAACTCACGACCTTGCGCTTGCCAGGCAGGCGCTTTTGCCGCTGAGCTAAATCCCCAGCCCCCAGATTCCGTATTTTCTATAGATTTCCCTTTAATTCTACTGATTGTTGTTCCATACTTAACCAGTATATACCTATCTAGTGGATTTCGAATGGCCTTATTTTACTGTTTAGTTCTGGAATTCTCCTTTGGTCTTTTTTCATAACTTTCACTTCTCTGTGGAGTCTGTCTTAGTTGCAGCACTTTCTTCATACCTTCTTTTTTAAATCCTTGATCATGGTGCAGAATTTTTGAAAAATGACAACTTTCAATTAACTGCCTGAAAGTCTATTTTCCTTTTGCTAAATGATTGCTAGTGTCTCTACCCTTGTTTAATTGTCTTTCTAATTTGGATCTCTGGGAGCTGCCCCTCTGTCCACATGCCATGGCAGGCACCAGGGACTGGGCACTTTGGCTCAGACACCGTGAGCTCATGATGATTCCCCCAGTTCTCTTGTGTGTTTGTTGAAAAGTGCACGAAAAGTGCAGCTGTTGTTACCTTCTGCCCCTTTGCTCATGAGCCTGTTTGGGTTCCGGTCTCTCATACATGGAATAAAACTGCAGAAATGATCTCAGTAATTCTTTGGGTGTGTCGTTTCCAGAAATCCACTCTTACCTTTCTGGCTGCTCCTTTTCTTGTGTTAACCAGGGCTGTCACTTGTACAGCAACCCTGTGGGCTTTTCCTGTTTGTCTCCTACACAGTTCACAGATTTGGCTGGAAACACTGAAGGCTCTTGTTCCTCTCCACACAAACTCAAGTCCTACCCTTTTGGGAACAGCTGCTACGCTTCGCTGTTACCCTCATAATGGAGACAGTATAGTCGTTGCTAATGACCCAGGGTGGACAGCACAGTCCTACGCACTCCCACAGGTATTTTCTGACCTTACCACAAATGCTACTACTTTTTTAAAAGAGTTTAATTTGGATGTGAATTTCAAAGATAGGATTAAAGTAAATGAAAAATTAAGTGTAGGACTATACATTAAGAGTTCATGCTCTTTTCTGATTATATTATTTTTCTATTTGAAATAACTTTAAATACTTTTAAAATTGTTAAACATTTCAGAAATGGTAATGTTTGTTTTAATGTATTTTTCCTCACATTTTGTTGGTATCATCTTATATAACCACAGCATGATGATGAAAACCAAAAATTAAAATTGATACAATCTTTAGATTGTGCTTCATTTTCACTATTGTATTTTTCAGTTTTGGGATCAGATCCAGGATCTCATATTACAATTGTCATATCCCCTTTACTTCCTCCAATCTGTGACAGTTCCGTTTGTCTTTTATGACCTTGACATCTTGAAAATATAGAGATGAAATAATCTGTTTAGAGTGCCCTTCTGATATTTTTTCCTGATTACATTCACATTACATTTTGTGGATATGAATATTAAAAAAGAAATAGTCTGCAATGTGCTATCTCAGGAATCAGAGAAAATTAATATATTTTATTCATGATAATGAAAAATGACTCTAAGGTGACAATTTACCCCTTCAAAAAGAGAAAAAGAGGAAATAAGATTATTAAAGCACGGAATTGCATATCAATGGAAAGTTGTTATCAAGTAAAATATTTGGATAAATGAAGGGAACTTTCTTGCAGTTAGAAAGCTACACAAATCGAATAAAAACATAAAAGGACTGAAAGATTTCAAACTGGGGAATTTGAAATTCTTCTGGTGACACAGTAGAATTCATATAGTTCAGACATGATTTCCAATGGTAAAGTCCTGGGACCATATCTAAAGTATGTAGTTGATCTTATCTTGGACAAAAGGGCCAGACAACTTCAGTGGGAGAAAGATAGCTTGTGCAATAAATGGTGCTCGAAAAACGGGCTTTCCACATGCCAAAGACTAAAATGAGGTCCGTGTCTCTCATCCTACACTAAACTGTAATTTAAATGTATCAAAGTACTAGATATTAAAAACAGAAACACTAAATCTGCTGGAAGATAGAATGGATAGAACTCTTGAATACATAACTGTAGGCAAAAACTCTCTATATAAAATTGTAATAGCATGGGAATTATTACAAATAATTAACAACTGGAATCTCTACCTATTAAAAAGGTTTTGCACAGGAAAAGCAATCCCAACGGAATGATGAGATAACCCAGAGAGTGGGGAAAAAAGTTTTGCCAGCTATTCCTTAGACAAAATACTAATATTCAAAATATATAAAGAATTCAAAAAATCAGAGCCCCCAAATTTCCAGAACCAATCCAAATATGCACATCTGAAATGAACACGCACACCTCTCAAGTGAAGTGGAAACACCAAATAAATATATGAAACAATGTTCAACATCATTGGTCATTTGTGAGCTGCAAATTAAAACAACACTGAGATTCCATCTCACTCCAGAACCAATGGCTTTTATCAAGAAATCAACTAATAACAAATGCTGGAGTGGTTGTGGGGAAAGAAAAAAGAATGCTTTTCCTCTGTTTTGGGAGTGTGGACTGGTGCAAAGACTGTGGAAATCAGTGTGGAGATTCCTCAAAAAACTAGGACTAGAGGTTCCATTTGACCCAGCTATTCCTCTTCTTGGTACCTTCCAAAAGAATTAAAAGTATCACACCA